GAATTCTCAAAAAAAAAAAAGTTTGAATTCCAAAAAAAATGCAGCAGGCTTCTTGGAGAAGCTTTGAGAAAGTTAACGGAAAGATAACGGAGGAAGGGACGGAAGTGACGGACGGTAACAGCCCAATGAACGGAAGTTAAAAAAAGAGCTATTTTCTTCCATTCTTATAGGTTAGGGGTTAAAACCGTTATATTATAAGGTGAGGGGCCAAAACCGTCCAACTTATCAAGGTAAGGGGCTATTCTTAGGCTTTTGCCGATTTTTCAAACCAATAAGCTTGGGAAGATGAAAAGATCAATGCACTCCCATGGGTAAAGTTTCTTTTTTTCGAAGTGGGTAATTAGTTTAAAATTTACAATGTATAAGGACCAATCTTATTCAAAATTTGATAAATTTTGGGACTATAACGAAATTCCAGATGCGGGACTCATGTGCAACGTCAATAAAAAGCCACCTAAGATAAAGTTTATCCAAGTCAACAGAGGCCTGACAAGTCATCAACCATTAACGGAATTGATCGTCCACGTCAGAGGCACTCGACGTGCCCGTTAACCTTTGGGATTTTACGTTAGTTTTGAACTATGGAAGTGTTGAATACAAAAAATAATAATATAAAATGTGTAAATAAGAGGTTTTGTTTTTTATTAAAATAATATTAAATGCTATGATCAGTTTCTAGTATTGTTTCATTAGTATCGAAATATAGAAATGGCTATAAATCTTGCATGGATACATAATGATTCAAGGCTTGTGGTTTGGCAAACATCAGTAGATTTGAATGCTGCTTTTGTTTTCGCATTAAGAAAAATCTTGTAAATCCTTTATCACATGTACCTTTAGTGTAGTTTGAGCGTGATGATCTAGCGAAGGGATGTCATTCCTTAAGGGTGCGATTGGAGCACCAGATGAAGTGTAGGATTGGATAAAAAATTTATTCTCTCCCTCCTAATCCCATGTTTGGAGAATTCTTGGGATGAGATAATCATTATCCAACATTTTATCCAATCTATTGCTCACTAAATTTAATCCCATCAAACCTATGGAATAAGAGGGGATTGGATTGATCCCACGCCTCGACCTAATGCTTGAGACCCTTGCTCAAGTGAAGATCACTAGTGGATTGTGTCTTCTTTTGTCCTGTTTAGAAGAAGAAGAAGAAGAAGAGGGGATTGGATTAAATTTCCTAAATCCACCCTTCTTCTCCTCTACTTTTCCCTCGTCACAAATCACCAGCAACCTTTTCTTCAGATTCTTCTCTCTCCTGACTAATTTGCCTCTCACTGGCCAGTGACATTCTCTCTTTCGACCAATCACCCTCTCTCAGTCTCAGAGGTGACTCTCTCCCTTACCTCTCCTCGTCTGGTTTGCTCCTACAAGTTCACTAGATGGGATTCAAAGATCTAGTTGCGAGGAAGGCAAAATCATATTGGTTGCAACTACATCTGTTGTTTTTTTTTTTTTGCCAACAACTACTTCTGATTCGATTGCATATTTGTTGAAAAAGATGAACCTCTTTCTTTTTCTTTAGAAAAACAATTTTAACTTGAAGCATTTTTTTAAAAAAAATTTGGGTTCTTTTTTGGTTTTTGAAAAAAGAAAAAAATGAAAACGAAAATGTTTCATAGGTAGACGATTTACTAGTTTGCTTTCACAGAAAAAAAAAAAAGAAGAAAAAGAACAAAATTGGGTTTGTGTTTAATTTTCGAGGAAAGAGAAGAAATTGAAAAAGATAATATTTCATAAGAAAAAATGAAATTAGGAGTTCTTGTTTGGTTTGCGAGGAAAAAAAAAAGAATGAAAAATAAAAATACTTCATTAAAACTCGAAGAATTACTACTATTTACTTTC